TGCCCGCAGGGTCTGGAGGTGGCTCGGGGTTGATCGGAGGCCTCCCTCTCGCTCTGATGAAAGACTGTTGAGACGCTGGTGGGGGGTAGGTTCTTCTGGCCACAGTTCCCAGCTGTGACCAGGGAGTGCCCAGGTGTCCTGGCCCACCTGGTGGGCGCTGATGTCTCGTGGTCACAGGACCTGTTGCCTTGGTGACTTCCAGAACCTTCTCTGGGGCTGCAGAGAAACAAGTCCTACTGGTAGGCACCCATTTGATCTTGGCCGTGTTTCTTCCTGCTGCTTGGAACAAGTCGACAATGGCAGGAGCCCAGTAGCCACTCTGAGAGTATGAGGACAAGGGCCCGACAACAAGGATGGTGGAGCAGAAAGCGAGAGCTCCCTGTCCGTTCACCCATGCACAGCCAAGTTTCCTCCACGCAGCCCAGGTCTGCATGCACTGCCCTAAAATTCAGGGGTGGACCAGGTGTTCCAACTCCAGCACCTTCAGCTAAACGTGAACCAGAAAAGCTTTGTACTGTAATCCTTGTAGCTGGAAGAGTCCTGAACTGAATGAGCTACACTCCCTGCCTTGATAACTGGGGTTTGGACCATCATTTGGACCATCATCACCAGGGCTGGAAGAGGTGCTGGGCACTGCACTCACAGAAGGCTGGAGTGAGCCTGGCTTATTGTCCAAAATTTGCTTCTTAAATACACATGGGACACCCCACATCCAAGGGGACCCTGACCCTGCTCACACCAGCCTTCTCCCTCTCAGCAGGCGGTGAACCTGCCCTCCCAGCTGCCGAGGTGGTTGGGCGCTCAGTGCCACGAGGACATGAGGCTGGGGTAGAAAACAGCAAAAAGCCCCAAACCAGAACAAAACAAACCCCTCAGTCAAAAACTCTGGGGTCCTTCTCTAGGCGTCGCTCTCTCTGACCTGCCTCTGAGCCAGTCAGGAAATCGTGCCGATTGCACCTTCAGACACAATGAGAACCTCCCCCTCACCTGTCCACTGCTGCCACCTGGCCCCAGCGTCCTTATCCCTCACCCGAGTTGCTGTAATCACCGGGACGTGACTGAGCTCAGGGAAAGACAAGGTGAGTCCGGAGAGCGGACCCGCAGACACGGGCCCCGCCCCCCGGACCCTGTCCCGGAGACGAGGCGCTGGGGCTCAGGGGCTGAGCCAGGGAGGGACACAGGAGTTGTTCAGGTGGTGAGGACGCGGCCACGGGCGGACACAAAGGCAGGAGAGGTGCGTCTGGGAGCCCCAGGAATTCAGTCACACGAGCAGGAAGCCGGGGTTGAGCGGCAGGGATCCAGGTGCACTCCCGGCCCCTGCGGGAGCTGGGGTATCAGCCGCTGGCCTCTAGTTTCAGGACGTTCTGGGTCACGTGAGTCATTAAAACCCTACTGCCTTTAAATTCAGGCGAGCTACAGAACACTCCCGCATCCTCTCCCTTTCCTGTTTACATGAAAACCCAGGCCACCACTTACTGTAACCTCGAGAACCAGTCCTGGAACCGGGGGGGCCAGTGTCCAGGCCCAGGCTGTCCGGGAGCGCGGCCGTGCACACGGGGCCAGAACAGCGGAATCAAACTCGCAGGACGCGTGTGTCGGAGCCCGGGTCGCACAGGCAGTGGGAACGAAGGGATGCACGCGGAGGGCCCAGGCGCGGCGTCTGGGAGGACCACGCAGCTGACGCGAGGGCGGTCAGGACTGGAGTTCAGCACAGATGAGAGACCATCTTCCAAGCATTCGGACGGCTCCCTCCCTCCCCGGGATTCTGTCCGCCCCTCGGAGGACACTCAGTGAGCCTGCAATCCCAGCATTATCTTGGGAACAGCATGGCATGAACCAAAGAGCTGAATGTTTTCTCAGTTTCTCTGAGTTTGGTGAGATGCAGAAAGCGTGGCCTCAGTGTCACAGGAAGTGGGTCTGAGTCTGGGGTCCTCAGTTCCCGACTTCCGGGGCTGCCGGGGGTCGGGAAGGGCAGCGGTGAGACCAGCCCGGGCTGAGACCTTCCACAGACGCGGGGCCGGCACCATTCCCTCCGGACTTCACTCGCTGAATCACGATTACAAGAAATGATGACAGTGGCCATTCTCTGAGTTAATTTCTGGTGCAGTAACTTTTAAAGAACATAAACACCAGTGTTTCCCAGGAACTTCCTCTGAGGACAGCTGCGAGCTAAGTCATTCAGCAGAGGCTCCGTTTGCCCTGCTTTGTTTTGCTCAGCGAGGACAAACAAGAGGCTCAGCCTGTTTGCCGGGAAGGATGTGGGTAATGGGAAAAGCATGTCACAGGGAAGTCACGCAGCCAGGAGACGCAGGGCTTGCAGCCGAGGGTTAATAACCGCTACAGAGATGCGATTTCGATAAAAACACATCGAAAATAACCGCTTCCCGTGACACTTGAAGATCATGCTCAATGTTGGAACAGGAAAGAACGCTTCCATGAAAACCAGAAGGCTCCCATTCCCAGACCTCCCAGACAGAAAAGCCACATCAACCCACCGCTCTGCCCGGAGCGGTCCCTGCAGCGACAGAGGGACAGTTCCCGCCACACCAGGACACCGAAGTGGCCACAAAGAAGCTAATCTCGAAAAATGGGGCTTCCTGGCAGAACTGCCCAGACCAGCTTTAGGCTGACGTTCAGCTGTAACGGGAAGAAAGACGGACCTTGGCAGGTTCAGTCGGGGAAGCGTTTGTGACACCAGGTGCGGCCACTGTGGGGACCCCGGGGAGCCCGGCCCGCTGCCCTCCCCTGGAGACCCGGTCTCGGAACAAAGACACCGGATGCTCAAACAGCAGATAAGACAGGGGTACTGTGAGCAAAGCCCACAAATATAAAAGCAGGCACCACTGCGGCTTCTGGAAGCTTCCAAATTCAAACCTGCTACCTCACCGTCAAGGCCTCTAGGCTTGGGGTTTGAGAGTATTTGTTCCCATGAAAGAAGGCAAACCCACAATCTGTTAACACTCAGTACCCAGAGCAGCAGTGTGGTCCGTTCAGGGCTTTGACGAAGACTGGCCGGCAGCCCAGGGGGACGCCCGCGGGAAGGAGCCTGTTCCAGGGAGCGCAGCCTGGGGGTGACGTGATGGAGCCGCGGGCCGGGTCAGGCTGGCCGGGGGCACAGGGCCAGATTAGGTCCAGATCTGCCCCGGCCCACCCCTCCCTCCCCGGCGCCCTGGGGCACCGTCCCCTCCTCGGGACCCACCTCCCCGCATCTGAATTGCAGGACAGCCTCACACCTGCTCAAGCTGAGGCTCCCGTCCACCCACGGTGGGGGTTTCAGGACACTTGAGCCTCTGGTGGCTTTGGGGACAGACAACCCTGACGGCTCAGTGCTTTGTCCTCTGTCTGTCTCAACTCTAAGGGTCTAGGGTCTCAGGGCTGCAGCTGCGGGTGGTGATGAAGCGGTTAAAACCAGAAAAAACATGTTCATAAAACTCTGGGCAAACCAGACGACTTCCTGAAACTTGGTCAGAAAACACTTTTTTTTTTCCGAAGTAAAATACATTTAAAATGGCTCTGGGACATTCACTAGACTGAGACTCTTTGCAAAAGCCCCGCAACTAGGTACCCCATTTGGCATAGCCTCTTGCACACGGGAGGCAGGTGGGCATTTCTGCAAGGTGATACACGTGTCTGCGCGTTCTCCTCTTCAGAAACAAGATGCCAGAGATGTTTGCTGATTTTACATCACCCATTTCATTTGAGTTAAAATGGTGCATGGCCCTCAGCCCTGTGTCGACCTGGGTCAACTGTGGACCAGGAAAGTTCAGACCAATTTACTTGACAAGACCAATGTAGCTTGTCTTTTGCTGACTGAGGGGCAGAGAGCAGGTGAGCAGCTGGTGGGCCAGGCAAGCTGAACTTCTGCCCCTAGGGCTGCAGCCCCGGGCTCGAGGCAGCTTCCAGCCGCGTGGAGTGGATGTGGAGTCCGGGTCCCCCAGGGAGGGGTCGGGCACCACCCCCATCGCTGCACGTGCTCGGAACCTGGCCCAAGGTGGGGCCCCTCTCCCACCCCCAGCTCAGAGCCACTGCTGGTTCCTGCGGGGGCCGGGGAGCTGCCACCCGTCCCAGGGGCTGGTCCCACGTCCACCTCACCCAGGGCCTATCCCCTCCGGCCCACGCACCTTCTGCAGGCGCTTGGCCTGGGGACCTGGCCCCCAGCCCCCGGTCACAGCACCCCGAGACCCGACCATGTGCAGTGAACGCTGACTCACATTACGCACATATGTACTTTACGTTTGCCGTTCGGAGGGAAGACAGCTGCAGTCTGTACACTCAGCCCTGGGATGTGTCCAGGTCCCCACTCCTGTGACCCGGGGGAGCCTCCGCGAACACACCAGAGGGTTTAGGCTCGTCGCCTCCTGCAAGGAGGCGCGCACTAGTGGAAGCAGCTCAAGTGTCTCACTGCGAATTTTGAAATGATTTGACAACTTCCAAAAACTCAAGACCATTTTCCCCAGATACTTCACTTTCCTTCTTGGATAATTACACGAGGTGCCCTCACACCGCCCCCAGGCCCCTTCAGAACAGCACCTTCTCCTCCTGGGGCCCAGAGCACCGGAGGATGGAGAGCCGTCACACGGTCACACGTTTCTGGCCACAGAGCCGTGCTCGGGCAGTTCTTCGGGGAGTGGCTCATCCCTTGTCCCCTGCTTTGGGAGAGCAGGCCCCACCGTTCCCACCTGTGTGTGTTGGCTTCTCCCTGACAAACGTCCCCTTCACACTCTGAAACGTCAGGGACAGGGCGGGGCTGCAGGCTTCTCCCGAGAGCTCCGCTCCCACCAGCCCCGTCCGCCAGGACAGCACCCCAGCTCTGCGTGAGGACGGACTCCCTTTTAACTAGCCCCTTCCACCTGCCTTCCTCGCTCCTACAGATGTGGTGCTCGCAGCCCCGGGGCTCCCTCCGGCCTCTGGGCCCTGCCCCTCGCCCGCTCCCACTGTCAGCCCTGGGCTGGGCAGGCACAGCCGCCAGTGGTCGGCCCGTGAAAGAAGCAAGTCCAATCTCCATCTGAAAACGTGGCCCGTTTATTGGAACCGAAAGGCATCGTTACATAGTGCAAACGTCTCTTTGGTGATGTACTGGTTACAGTGAACATAAGAAAGGCACTTGCTGTTGGCAAACCGTTAGAAGTGAATGAAACCCGCTCTGCCCACCCCCACCGGGGATTCTGCGGACATCCCAGCTGCACCGCGGAGCGGCTCTGCGCACCAGACCGCCCGGTCGACTGAGATGGTGCCATCCTTCCACAACCGCTCAGACCACAAGCCTTAACCCGCGAGCCGGCCGCCTCCGCACGGGGCCGCAGACAGGCCTCCCGGGCACCTCCAGACGCCAACACTGCAGAGCGTGGGCTCCGTGGTCTTTCACGTCTGAGCAACTTACAGAACCATGGACTTTCAGACAGAGTTTTCCTCTTTCTGTTTACAGAAATCTGTTTCAGGATTTGGTTACTCAATTCGACTTGCAATTTCAAAAGAAGTCCTGTGCCCCATGGGACGTGGGGCTTTTATTCATCACTTAGTGATATGAGGGCAGAAGGCAAGCGGACTGTTTAAAGCTGCTCAGGCTGGAATATGAACATGCAGGCACTGGGCTCTCCTGCAGGTGAAGGAGGCTGTGCCGGGCTAAACCCAGGCTTTCAACTGCTCACTATGCGCCAGACACTGCCGGAGACTGGCCTTCCCCGCCACCAGCCCCGCCGCCCCCGTGATGGACTCCCCAGGGGACGGAGACAGCCAGGTCCTCCTGGGTCTCTGCTGGGACGGGCAGGCGGGCCCTGCGTCTGTGCCCAGCACAAGGCCTGGCTCCCAGTGGACACTAATCAGCGTCTGCAGAACTGAACAGAATGTGCAGGACATGTTTCTCAGAACACAGATCACTTTGTATTTGGAACAAAACAGGAGGATTTTGGTCAATTAAAAAGACAGACCATGAGGTATGAAAGTTGCTTTTCACTGGATTCTGTAAGAACTTCTGCAGGGTAGAAATGACTCCTGCCATGTCTAACACTAAAACGTGGGCAAAATTTCATAAAGCGTCGTGCATTTTGAAAATACAAATGAGGTACAGGGATTGCTTTAACTCACTCACACAACCTGCAGTCAGAAAGTTCCCCACATTCGAACTCCTCCCGTCGGCAGAAGAATCTAGGGCGTCGTGACTCTCCATGGGCTCGAGCGGGACCGAGTCCGGCGATGGAGCGGAGCACGAGCTGGCACGTGCACGGAGCAGTAGGCCCCGTCCGCTACAGCATGGAGGGTTTTCATTTCTGGTCCACACTAGGCAGTGCATATGCAGGTCGGACATGAACTCAAGACTTGTTCCTAAATGCGGCTTAATAACCTCATGATCTGGGCGAAAGGAGAGCCGAGCTGCACGATGTGCTGGGGCTGCGGGCGGCAGGGACGTCTGCTCTGCGGTGCAGGCAAGGCCCCGGGAGGCTGCGGAGGACCGGAGGAGGGGCTGTGGTCTGGCGGATGTGGGGTGACGGGGTATGAGAGCCTGTGTCACCCCTAAGAGCGTCACCCAACGTGCTCCACAGAGACTCCATTCCGTTTGCCAAATACTGAATTTCTCGTAAATCCCGCGCCCTCTGCCAGCAGCTCCGCTCTGCGCCCATCCCTTGGGCGACGGGCCTGCAAGCTCTTGGAATCAGGAACCAGCAGGACTAAGTTTCAGTTGAGGAGAAATGGTGATATTAGCTGAAATCAACTTAGGAGCCTAAATGATTTAACTGTGCAATTTAATAGTAGCACCAATTTTTCATTAAAAAAATTAAATAAAAACCTGAGAAATCTAACATGAAGTTAGGACACGTGTCTGCTTCCCGCCCTCGTCTGCTCCAGGGCCTCCTGGTGAGCAAGGATCCTGGGTTAGTTCCAACACAGCCGGAGCCGCGGCCTGGAACCCCCAAGCCTCAACGCTCCTGGCCTGCGCTCCCCAAACCAGCGCGGCCGCGGAGGACGCACGGAGACGCGCTGGGCCTCCAGGCACCTAAGGCTTCTTTCCTGGGGAGTCGCTCGGGCAGGCTGGACAGCAGGCCCCGCTGGCTCTCACGGGCGCTGGACAATCGGCAGGCTGGCAGGCTTCCACGAAGCAGGTGACCTGCCCGTCCTGGAGGAGAGACGGCGCCAGCCGGTCAGTCCCCGGGAGAGCCGGGCCTGCGTCACGCTCTCCCTCCCCGTCTGGCCTGCTGGGTGGGCTCTGCAATCAGAGAGCAGCTGACTCTCTTGGCTGGTTCACAGCGCAGACACCCCACTCCTTCCAGCCCGCCTCCGCCGTCTTCTGCCACCGTCCCCGGACCACAGCTGCACCTCTTCCACGCTGCCCACTGGGGACCCTGGGACCCTGTCCCTGGGCGTCGACCAGAAGGAGGGCCGACTAGCGAGAAGATGGAGGGGCCAGGGCTCCATCATCCCCAGCGCAGACCACCACCAGGGACACAGCGCCCTCTCTGCCACAGCAGAGCTCTGACTGCCCAGCCGTCCGCAGCCAAGCACTCGTGACCCGGTTCCCAGACAGAGTCCACACTCACGCGGCATTCACAGGCGGTGCAGGGGTCCCGTTTCCACTTGGCTCCGTTGGCGTGAGGGTTGCCGTCGGCATCCACGCACTCGGTGCTGAGCCGGGACTCGAGCTTCTTTATCTGCACAAAGCAGAGGAGGCGTGGGTCACACCGAGGAAGAGGTCAGCTCAGGGTCACAGCTGCTCCTTCACTGAAGTGATGCCTGGCGACCAAGAGGGACTGAGACAAATGTTCCTAAGGAACCTCCAGCGTAGTCCTTGGACAGCTGTTTGCCCGGGAGCTCCAGGACCACGGCCTGACTGCTGCCGCGCTGATGCGAGAAACGCGCTTACCGCAAACACGCTGAGCGGTTACCTCGTGAGAAGGGGAGACGCTGCCGCCTCAGGGGTGAGCGCGAGCACCGGGGGGGGGGGGGGACACACGGCGCCAGCTGCTCCAAGGAGCGCGAGGCCGTGCCGCTGCTGCTCCTGGCGGCACGGCGGCCCCTGCCGAGTGGTGCTGACCGGGTGCCGAGGCGGGAAATCCCTAGGTCTCTGCACCGTGGAGGGTCCCGCAGCCCCCCAGGTCCCTCTGGAGCACGTGAGAGGCAAGCACACCCCCACCTCGTGCAGACCGTCCCCACACCTCAGCTGACTGCTAAGTGAGGTCTGAATAGGGCCGGGGTCCCGGGCGTGACATCGCTCCGCCCTGCCGCCCTCCGTCTTCGGTCACCTGAGCCAT